ATAACAAAGATGTAGCTGGAATCATGGGATTTGTCGTGTTCACCTCCACAGCCGTTTTCATTTATGGTGTTATTTTCGGCGACAGAACCCTTAGCCAGTGATCATGCATAATTGTGGTACATCGTGAATGTGTAAAACTAACAGCTGTGGCTTGCTAGATGCTACCAGAGATAGTTGGCTTTGGCGCTACTACTACATCTTCCACATTTTTTCAAGAAGTGTGCTGTGTTTCCTAGGGCTGCACGATAAATCGAAATGGAATCGATTCGACAGAAACTGCGATTGTCATGCATATTTTTCAGTAATGCATGGTTCTGTGATCAGCAGTAAATCTCCATACAAAGGCCAGAGGGCGCTCTCGCACTGAAACTTCAAAACACGCCTGGAAACCCAGGAAATCCCAATAGCGGTAGCTGGATAAACAGAAGATTTAATTGATTCAACGTGACTAATGAACACACGAGTTATTATAATTTTAATTAAAATAAAGTATATTTATAATGCAATGTCTTTATCACTGCTTAGAATACGATGAAATATGTTGCGTGCCTTATTCAGTGTAAAAAGCCGCATCATCTCACAGAAGGATTTCTTTCAAACGCTCGACTGACGTTATGAAGTGAGTTTGGTGTAAAAATGTTATTAAATGTGGTATTTTCACATGCTTTCAGATGGAGCAGCATTTACTACACGGAGCCGTAGTTCACTGAGAAGCAGTATAAACAGCTGTCATTATCGCGAACGATTTCTTCGATTTCATAATCGCGCAATAAAATCGTCTGCGATTTTGTTGCGTAACTTGTCAGTGAACTACGGCTCTGTGTAGTAAATGGTGCTCCATCTGAAAGCACGTGATGATGATTTACTGCTAATTACAGAACCGGCTTTACTGACAAAATACACATGACAAAATACACATGACAATCGCATTCGATTAATCGTGCAGCCCTAGTGTTTCCATGGCTTCTACTAACAACCGAGAATAGCGGGAAATTACCCCACTGACATATGACACGAAGAAATGGACCATTTTACTACTTAAAATTGTGAATTTCTCTGGATTTAGACATTGTTGGAAACTTTTAGCATAATGTAAGCACACAGGTTAACAAAATATCTAGAGAGGTGTTTGGATATTTATTGCACAAATCTTACGTATCGTGCCTTTAACATTTCAAATGCTATTTTTTTTGTTTGTTTGATTCATTTAATCAAACAGTGTGTTGTTGTTTTTTTTCAGGCTGAATGGTTATATGGTGGTGAAAGTAGTGCAGGCATTGAGGTCTATAAAGGTTCGAGCTCCCATCACTGTTAATGAGATCACAATTGATCTGAATGAGGAACAGCAGTCAGAGAGGCATCTGTCCAGAGTCCTGAGCAGCTTGGCCATCCTTCTGAGACTCTGGACTGTCCAGTGTTTGAACTTGATTGGACACAAGATTCAGTCTGTTTCTGTGTGTGTCCTAATTTGTCACCAGGGACCAGTGACTCTCAGGTCTGAATGTAGGACACATTTCAAGTGTTTGAGTTTATATCTAAAATAACAATATACAAACATAATGAACTCTTTCTGTGTGTGTGTGTGTGTGTAGCCTGCCCAACGTGACTCTCCAGAAGCTGGTTGAATGTGTCTATGAAGCTCAGGAAGAAGAACTGACTCAAAGCTTCCTGCAGAAAGTGGGCAATGATCTGACTTTCTGTTCCTTGAGCTGGGAAGAGTTTCATTATTTTCTGCAGCACAGAATTCAACAAATCACTCTGAACTTAAGATACAGCAACATTCAGGTCAACATTAGAGAAATTCTGCCATTCCTGAACCAGATTAAGTTTAAACAGTAAGCAATTATTGTTTTCACAAAATCTGCATGTAAAATGTATTCCTTTTCATTTTTGCACATAAAAACAAACTGAATAGTATGATAAAAAATGTACAATGATTTAATAATGAAAAATATGTCTGTACAGGATGAGCTCTGTCTTCATGCTGTGTGCAATCAGAGAGATCTATGAGTCTGGCTCTGCTGGGTTTGTGTCGAGTCTGTTGAGTTCAGTGAAGAACTACATTAACCTGCAGAGCAGACATCTGGACTCTGTTCACTCTGCGGCCCTGCGCTTCACACTGCAGCACTGCACTGCAGCTTCGCTCAACCTGCTCTGGACCTCCATACCAGAGGAAGAGCTGCAGAGCATTCTGCCTCTCTTCACACATCTCTCCCACCTCAGGTCTCACTGCTTTTCTCTCTAGCTCTATTATTCTGTTTCTCTGTCTCAGGTCTGTCTGTGTGTTTCATTCAGTAGCTTTCTGGGTGACATCTACTACAAGCCTTGAAGTAGCATTGACTTATGTTATAACTTATTTAAGGCATATTGTTTTATTAGTAGTATTTTAATAATTGTAATATTATTATTTAATATGTATCTGAGGTCAGTTATTGGTTTGCATTTATGGGAGCTCTGAAAACACAGTCATTTAAAAATCTATGTAAGCAGCTCTTCAGTTAATTGAAATGATCATAATCACAGGCAAACAAAAGCAAAATAAACGTAAAAGTAAAAAATCTTAAGTACTGAAAAATGTAATTATGAAGGAAACCATTATCACATCTAGAATCATTAAGAGCCTTCAGAATAATAGAATTCCTTAAGATTCCCATTCATACTAGGGTTGAGTTATCTTGTGTTCGTCTGTGTTCAGTGTTGACGGACTGCTGTTACTGATGTTACAGAATCTGTCCTGATCTAGTGTTCATCTGTGTTCGGTGTTGACAAGCTGCTGTTACTGATGTTACAGAATCTGTCCTGATCTAGTGTTCATCTGTGTTCGGTGTTGACAAGCTGCTGTTACTGATGTTACAGAATCTGTCCTGATCTAGCGTTCGTCTGTGTTCAGTGTTGACAGGCTGCTGTTACTGATGTTACAGAGTCTGTCCCGATCTAGTGTTTGTGTCCAGTGTGGACAGGCTGCTGTTACTGATGTTACAGAATCTGTCCTGATCTAGCGTTCGTCTGTGTTCAGTGTTGACAGGCTGCTGTTACTGATGTTACAGAGTCTGTCCCGATCTAGTGTTTGTGTCCAGTGTGGACAGGCTGCTGTTACTGATGTTACAGAATCTGTCCTGATCTAGTGTTCATCTGTGTTCGGTGTTGACAAGCTGCTGTTACTGATGTTACAGAATCTGTCCTGATCTAGCGTTCGTCTGTGTTCAGTGTTGACAGGCTGCTGTTACTGATGTTACAGAGTCTGTCCTGATCTAGTGTTAATCTGTGTTCGGTGTTGACAGGCTGCTGTTACTGATGTTACAGAATCTGTCCTGATCTAGTGTTTGTGTCCAGTGTGGACAGGCTGCTCTTACTGATGTTACAGAATCTGTCCTGATCTAGTGTTCGTCTGTGTTCGGTGTTGACATGCTGCTGTTACTGATGTTACAGAGTCTGTCCTGATCTAGTGTTAATCTGTGTTCGGTGTTGACAGGCTGCTGTTACTGATGTTACAGAATCTGTCCCAATCTAGTGTTTGTCTGTGTTCAGTGTTGACAGGCTGCTGTTACTGATGTTACATAATCTGTCCTGATCTTGTGTTCATCTGTGTTCAGTGTTGACAGACTGATGTTACAGAATCAGTCCCGATCTAGTGTTTGTCTGTGTTCAGTGTTGACAGGCTGCTGTTACTGATGTTACATAATCTGTCCTGATCTTGTGTTCATCTGTGTTCAGTGTTGACAGACTGATGTTACAGAATCAGTCCCGATCTAGTGTTTGTCTGTGTTCAGTGCTGACAGGCTGTTGTTACTGATGTTACAGAATCTGTCCTGATCTTGTGTTCAGTGTTGACAGACTGATGTTACAGAATCAGTCCCGATCTAGTGTTTGGCTGTGTTCAGTGTTGACAGACTGATGTTACAGAATCAGTCCCGATCTAGTGTTTGGCTGTGTTCAGTGTTGACAGACTGATGTTACAGAATCAGTCCCGATCTAGTGTTTGGCTGTGTTCAGTGTTGACAGACTGATGTTACAGAATCAGTCCCGATCTAGTGTTTGTCTGTGTTCAGTGCTGACAGGCTGTTGTTACTGATGTTACAGAATCTGTCCTGATCTTGTGTTCATCTGTGTTCAGTGTTGACAGACTGATGTTACAGAATCTGTCCCGATCTAGTGTTTGTCTGTGTTCAGTGCTGACAGGCTGCTGTTACTGATGTTACAGAATCTGTCCTGATCTTGTGTTCATCTGTGTTCAGTGTTGACAGACTGATGTTACAGAATCTGTCCTGATCTTGTGTTCATCTGTGTTCAGTGTTGACAGACTGATGTTACAGAATCTGTCCTGATCTTGTGTTCATCTGTGTTCAGTGTTGACAGACTGATGTTACAGAATCTGTCCTGATCTTGTGTTCATCTGTGTTCAGTGTTGACAGACTGATGTTACAGAATCTGTCCTGATCTTGTGTTCATCTGTGTTCAGTGTTGACAGACTGATGTTACAGAATCTGTCCTGATCTTGTGTTCATCTGTGTTCAGTGTTGACAGACTGATGTTACAGAATCTGTCCTGATCTTGTGTTCATCTGTGTTCAGTGTTGACAGACTGATGTTACAGAATCTGTCCTGATCTTGTGTTCATCTGTGTTCAGTGTTGACAGACTGATGTTACAGAATCTGTCCTGATCTTGTGTTCATCTGTGTTCAGTGTTGACAGACTGATGTTACAGAATCTGTCCTGATCTTGTGTTCATCTGTGTTCAGTGTTGACAGACTGATGTTACAGAATCTGTCCTGATCTAGTGTTCATCTGTGTTCAGTGCTGACAGGCTGCTGTTACTGATGTTACAGAATCGGTCCTGATCTAGTGTTCGTCTGTGTTCGGTGTTGACA